CCAGGTTCTCCCGGAGCAGGGCCCGGGCTCTCCCGGATCCCCCCGGAGCAGGGCCCGGGCTCTCCCGGAGCAGGGCCCGGGCTCTCCCGGATCCCCCCGGAGCAGGGCCCGGGCTCTCCCAGAGCAGTGCCCGGGCTATCCCCCCGGAGCCCCCGGCAGTCCCCGGCTCTGCCTCTTCCCTTCCCCCGCCCGGCTGCGCCTTCCGGCGGCCGCGGCCCCGCCCCGGCAGCGCGGCCTGTGCGGAGCGGCCGGGCCGGGGCAGGTGCGGAGAGCGCGGGACACACACAGGGACCGACTGGGAGAGACTGGGACAGCCGGGGAGCTCAGGGACAGCCGGGGAGCTCAGGGACAGCCGGGGAGCTCAGGGACAGCCTGGGAGCTCAGGGATAGCCTGGGAGCTCAGGGACAGCCTGGGAGCTCAGGGACAGCCTGGGAGCTCAGGGACAGCCGGGGAGCTCAGGGACAGCCTGGGAGCTCAGGGACAGCCGGGGAGCTCAGGGACAGCCAGGGAGAGGCCGGGAGGCTGGGCAGCCCGGCCTGGGGAGCGGGGGATGATGCTCTAGCCGGGGCAGCGCAAACCCGCCGGGGCTGCAGGGGAACCCGGCCTCCGAAAACGTGCTGGTTTTCCTCCGAAAAACGTGCTGGTTTTCCTCCGTGCTGGGGAAGGGAGGATGGATGGCAGCAGGATGGGCTGACAGCGGGTTTTGGTGAATCTCCAAAATAATTGCTCTGCGAAGGGCTGGTTCCGTCCCTGGAGCATCCCGGGCGCATTCTGTGCCCCGGGCGCGGCCGTGGATGCGGTGGGCAGGCGGCAGTGCTGCTGGATGTGCTCCGAGCGGGTAAACTGCACCTAAACCATCGCCCAGCAGCCTGCCCAGGGTGGTTTTAGAGTTTTCCTCGCCGGGAATATTCCAGAAGGATCTTAGCGCCGTGCTGTGCCATGTGCTCGGGGATGGCACTACGTGGGCTCCTGTGGTCCCTCCCAGCCTAACCCTAATGCAGAGCAAATTAATATTAATCTAAAAATATCCTTTCAGCACTGATATAAAAGCCAAGCTCTTGAGATGTTTTAAAGTAACTGCAATAATGTAATTGCATGCAGATTTTAAAGCATGGTAAATGTAAAAAGCTGTTTTAATTTATGTGCCCCTCCCAAATAAACCATATTTGTGGTGATGTGTATCTTATTTTTGTGGAGTGGAGCTCTTATTGAATGGTGAGGTGCAGTCTCTGCAATGTTCCAGTTTTGAAAAGTCTCAGTTTTCAATACTGGGGCATTACATGGGTGCTGTGACAGTAATTTCTCAGGCACCTTTTGTGCCCAGGCTTGTGCCAACCCTGCACAAGGCTCATCATCTGGAGGGGTTTGTTGGAATGACAGAGTTCCCTTGTAAACCTGATGAAGGTTTTGGCCTCCAAGCACTGCCTGTCTCCCTGATGCACTGGGGACTAAAGTTGGGGATGTGGACTTACTTTCTCTGGGGCAAAATCCACCCTTTCAATGTAGGAAATGTCTAAACCCATCATTTTCTTGTGAATGTGTCAGTCTGTGACATAATCTTTTCCTAGTAAAAGTTTTGTTTGCTTTGTTTTCTAACAGAAATGTTCTGAATGTGGACAGTTCTACCAAAATCTTCAGGTTTCAGCAGGAAAAAGATGTGGCTGTGTGAGCTTGCGAGGCGGCTTTAGCAATTCCTGTCTGCATTCTGGCCCATGAAAGGTTCATTACACCAATTATTCCAGCAAGAGAACAGAAGCTCTATAGGAAACCGTTGTAGTTAGAGAGCAACTTGTGTTACCGTGGCTGCTTTACCTCTTGATAACTCTGTAATTAACTTGTCACCACAGTTTAATGCTTCACCTATGCAGAGGATCAGTTCATGGCATCACTGAGGGGATCAGGGCCTGGAGGAGAAGCTGCTGCCCTTTGGGAGGATTCCTGGGGTTGCCCCGAATGGCTGAGTTAAGGACTTGTGCAGGAAAAGCAGGATGTTTGTTATGGGAAGTGTGCCTGAGCTGGAAAGGTTGCACCTGAGCAGTTCTGGTTAAACTGGTGACAGGGGAAATACCTTGAAGGAGCAGTAATGCCAGAAGTCCTTTGCTGGTTTTGTAGTGTTTTCGGGGTTTTTTTCCTATACAATAATGGTTTTGGAGGACTGAGAACAGCTGATGCTTGTGAATTAACCCTCAGGGTGCTGGCTGGACTGGCAGTGTGTAATTTCCTTGTCCTCCTCCTCTGGTGGCATCCTCACCTGTGGGGTTGCAGAGTGGTTGTTCAGGTGTTGGTGCTGGAAGAGCTTCATGGGAACAAATTGGAGATCCAGGTGTGTTGGGGTGTCAAAATTAAACGGCAGCATCCAGACTAGTCAGCTATTCTTCCTGGGATACAGCTGACCTAAATTGCACTTGATTTCTGAAAGAAAAAGCCTTTCTGCTGGTGAGTTATTATGTCATAGTTCACAGAGTAATATCAAAGAATGGTTTGGGCTGCCTTAAATCCCACCCTTTTCCCCTCCCACTGTCCCAGCTGCTCCAGCCCCAGTGTCCAGCCTGGCTTTGGGCACTGCCAGGGATCCAGGGGCAGCCCCAGCTGCTCTGGGCACCCTGTGCCAGGGCTGCCCACCCTGCCAGCCAGGAATTCCTGCCCAGTATGATGATGGATCAGGGGTTCATCCTTCTGGGCAGGAGTTCCATTCCCACCTCAAATTCTGAATGCACGGAGCTTCTAAATCCATCCTGCAGGCATTCATATTCCCTCTGTCACTGCAGGGATTTCCTGCATCTCGATGCTCCAGCTTGTGGAGCTGGCACTGCCCGTTCCCAGAAGTTGTCAGGGAAGCTGGATACACATCCCAGCCGTGGCATAACTCGGAGGAGCCAGCACTTGTTAACTCTATTTGTTTTTATTATGGACATCGATCTGCCAGTCGCAATAATGCATTTATGGACATTTTTCTGCAAGCGCAGCGCTGGTGGCAGTTTTTACTGACAACTTGAGTCATCTGGACAGGAGTCGAAAATACGTTTATTTTATTGACGGATTGTGCAATTCTCTCGTTTACCCAGTGTTCATAAGATATCTGGACTGGTGAGGAGAATGTAACTGATGGGAAAATGGAGGATGAAGTTTTAATTTTGGTTTTGGAATCTTTTTGGTAGCAACAGGTTCCAGAATGTGTTCGGAATAGGTTTGGGAGCTTTAACTTCATTAATGCTGTAATTAAAAAGTGAAAAGCTCAGTGTCCTTACAGCAGAATTCCAGGCCTGAATCCCCTCCCTCTGCTGATAGCTGGGAATGGTACTGGTTGGTAATTGTGCTGATTTATCTGAAGGTATAATGGGTAAAATCCTCCTAATGGAAGGAAAAACTCCTGTTGAATTTAGTATTTCTGACATATCACCCACCGCAGGTGTGCTTGGGCCAGCATGAAGTTTAACACGCAGCTGGAGGAACAACCAAACTATAAAACTAAACCTGTGCTGAAGTACTCTTCATAAATGCAAAATGCAGTTTTAAAACTGAGCTGCTTATGGTTCAGGCAACTGCTTAAAATGTATTGAATGCAAATAAAGCTTGTGTGGGTTTGGATTTTAATAAAGTTGAGTAATTGTCAAAGTTATTTGGAATATCGCTATTATGCATTTTGCTAATCCTTTTTTGAGTTGCTTCCTTATTTACTATTTTATATCTGCACAGCTAAATTACCATGTCCTGGTGGCTGTCAGGAGCATCGATATATTCTGGGCCAAATGAAATGATACAGATAGTTTCAGGTATCTTTTCATGTCACTTGTAAAACTTGGATGTGCAGCTGAAATTCTCCCTGATGCAGCAGAGATTCTGAAGGTTATTAAAAATACCTGAGCAAGTCACCTTTGATTGCAAAGAAGAGGAGAGTTCATTAAAACAAAGGTTCTGACTTTTTCTCTGCTTTTTGAGTGAAATAGGAGTTAAGTATTAAAATAGCAGCATTGTCCAGTGGACTGGAGTCTTGAGCAGCGTGGCAGTGGGGAATAAATAATAATTTGAGTATTGACCTGATGGATGCATTTTAGCTTTTCATTTTTACACAAATGCCACCTTTTGGTGCAGATGAATGCAATCAGTATTTTAATACATATATTAGCACAGTCCACTGGAGTCAGAGCTGTTTTCTTGTGTGAATTCTGCCATCTCTGTGCTCTATGTGCAGATTTAGGTCCCTCCAGGTAACCCTGCATTAGCAGATAGCAAGAATTAGTGCTGCCTTGTCAATGCTGCTGCTGCATAATCATCATCAGGAATACTGAAATTATCTGAGTGCTTTAGATCAGTCAGCACAAGGCAAACAACGCTCTTATCTTGGCTTGTTTGTACATTCAAGTGTGCAGAAGGTCTGTTAATGAGTTACACTTTTTAATAAACACCTAAAGTATACTTAGGGCCCTGTTAAAAGATTAAGTTTTCTGTTTCACATCATAAAACCAGCAGATGAGTGTTCAGCATGTGGCAGTACACGGGCAGCACGAGCCTGCTTGGGCAGCCTGGGCTGGTGGTGGGGACAGGACAATTCTGCTGTCACCCCTGTCGTGTAGAAACGGCTGCCGAAATTCCACTATCCATGCACTGTGCTCTGCTGGGTTCAAGGATGAGCAAGGTATAGTGGGAAGGGTGTGGGAAAAGGGAAATCCCTTGCACAGTCTCCTGTTGACACCAGAAATACCTCTGGTTCTTGGCTGACTCGGTGAAATGCGAAGATTTATCATTGGTGGAGTTTTTTCAAGCTGGCCACAGTTGTTGGTTTGGGATTTTTTGTTTTGGTTTTCTTTTTCTGAAATATAAAGGAATTAATTGGTTTTGAATCCAGTTTGGATTCATTCCCTTTTAACTTGGAGGTCTAGGCAGTGGGGTGGAAGTAAAGTCTGGCTCTGTGGCCAGGGTTGTGCTTTAGGAAGGTGAAACTGAGGTCCAAAGTGCTTGAGCTGAAACAAACCTTTAAAATAAATCATGGGCTCCCAGAATGGTTTGGGTTGCAAGGGACCTTAAAGAACATCTGTTCCCACACCCAGGAACAGATAGTTCCACTGTCCCAGGTGCTCCAAACCCCAGTGTCCAGCCTGGCCCTGGGCACTGCCAGGGATCCAGGGGCAGCCACAGCTGCTCTGGGCATCCTGTGCCAGGGCTGCCCACCCTCCCAGGGAAGTAAAAAAATGCTTGTTTCATTATTTTTTTTAACACCAATAATACTATTTTCACTGATTGCACGAGTTTAATGTACTTTATTTTGTATTATTGTTAATGCAGCTGGCCCTGGATTTAAATGCATTTCAGTTGCCTTTTTGTGCCATTATATTTGATTCCACAGCGAGACTTTCTAAGAATATGATTAACCCTCTGGGTCATCTTATAATGTAATTATTAATGATTGATTCTGTTTATCCTTGGGATCAATATGAGAAGCAAAAATGCTTTGGCATATATTTGGGGTTGATTTCTTGCATTCAGTAAACATGATCTGGTGACAAGACTGGTATTGGTTTATTACTTGGAACGTGTTTGATGAATCTGAAGTGTGTAATTAGTTTTATATAATGATGGTGATATGTGGGGTTTTTTACATGACTTATGTTAATATGGCCAATAGTGTTAACATCTCCTGCCACTAATAGTTAGGGTGGGGATGTATAGTAATTGATCTTCCTGGGAGTGCTGTAATGTAAAAACAATTCCGGCTGTTTGAAGTATATTTTACAAGTGTGCATTGGGCCTTTGGGATGTTATACTGAAAAACCCAATTGTACAGTTACCATGGGAACCCAATTAGAATAGATTGCTGGATTTTTTTTTTTTTCCCAGGCTTTCATCTTGACCAAAAATCTAATGTACTTTAAATGTTTTCATACGGAATTTTGTTCGTATAGTCACTTGGTGTAATGGCTGGTTTTTAATTTTAGTGCTGAAGCAGAGTGTTCTGTTGAGGGTCCCGAGGACTTATCCTTCAAGGAGAATCTTCCTTTAGTGTTTAAAAGTTGATGAACTGAGAAAAAATGCTTTTTATTAATCCAAGTTCTTACTGCTATCACATGTACTCGTCAGGCTGCAGTCCTGAGGGAAAAAAAAGCAGGAAAATATCTCAAAGCCCAAGGACTTCTGTTCTAGATCATCATCAGAACATGGCTGAAGAATTTCCTGCCCTGCAAGGATCTATTCTTGATGTCACCTCTGACTTTTCTTCACCTTTTTGGCCTGGTGACATATCCAGAGGTTCGGGATGCTCACAGGGTGGCACTGTGAAGTGTTTGCTTCCTGCACTGTTCAGCACCTACAGGTGTTTGTGTATCTTCAGGTGTCCTGGGAGCATCCTGCTCCCTCAGCACAGCTCCTGGGTGGGAGCAGAGGTTGGGAACATCTTGCTGGAGTGGCCAAGGGAAGCTGAGGCAGGAGAGATGGAGATGGATATCACTGGTCCTTGGCAGCTCTGAGCTAGTGAGGATTGTCGACTATTAATTTTTCCCGTACTGCTCGTTAATCCCTTCAGTTTATCCCACTCTGCAAATGCAGGAGGGAATTTTCCGTTTTTGGTGAAGCCATTGCTGACGTGAAGGTTTCAGTTTTTCCAGGTTTGCTTCTGGTGCCTCAGTTTCCACACCATGGAAGTGGTGCCACTGAATTTGATCAATGGGTGCTGTTGTTCCAAAGAGGTTTTGGCTTTTTGCCTTTAAAGTCAAAAGAAAACCCTTCAGCTCCACGTGAAGTACTGACCTCCTCCAGCAGGACAGTCTGGCAGGGCTGAGGTGCACTTTGGAGGGATGGGTTGGGCTCTCCAAGGGTTGTTTTTTGTATGGTTTCTCCCAACCTGGCTGTCAGAAGTTTTCCAACCACCGTGGTTTGGACGTGGCTGGTTTTACACAAATTCTGGTCACCCAAGGAAGGCCTGGTTGGGTGAGCAGGTGGAGTTCCACCAGGGTTTGAAATGAGCTTCAGGATAAATCTGATTGTTAAAGCAAAGATTTCAGCTTCGCCCTCCAGGAAGATCTAAAAAACCTGAGCGTTGCTGGGTGCTTTGAAAGACCCAGCTCTGAACTGATGATAGAAGTAAATTACTATTTTATTTTTAGCTCTGTCACAGATATTTTAAGTAGTTCTATTAGAGTACTCATCTGCCTGACCTGCATTTCAAAATGCAGAGTTCCCTTTGCATTGCCTGCCTTGTTACTAGAGGTAAAATACTAATTATTCATCCTAATTTTAAATCCTTAAGGAAGATGCAATATTAAGATTGAATGTTGCTGTTTGGTTTTAAGTAGCTGGGAAGTGGCCATGTGTTCTGTCAGTGCCTTGGACTTCAAGGAGAGGTCTTGGAAAGCCTGGGATGTTCATTTAATTTCATTTTTAAGAGATTTACCATTCCTGAAGTGGATACAGTTATCCCTGCCCATGGAGTGGTGATTCCCTGATTTAAGTGGAGCAGTTCCCATCGAGGCTGGCTGTGAGTCAGGATTGTGAAGCTGAGCTTTGGCACATAATATCCTTGGTTAAAAAAAAAAATACAGTGTTTATAGCACATCTTTCAAAGGCAGAGTGATATTAGCTGAGTGGCACTTAAAAAAAACATGGAGGGGGGAGCTAAATGCCAAAGAAATAGGAAATATCCTTTATTTCCAAGGGGAGAGCAAAAAGGAACCAGTTGTGATTTTTAATTATATAAATAATGTTAAAGGCTAGAATTATAATAATTGAAGTTAAAATGTTTTAGGTACACAGTGGTGTGAAATCTGTGCTTTTAAACCCAGAATATATCACAATCACTTGCTTTAAAATCACTTTCATGCCTTAAAATGTGGCATTTCCTAAATCACAAAAGGCTCTTCATTTTACTCAGTCACTTAGAAGTGCATGACAGCCTGTAAAATATTATTCAATTAATACTTTTATCTTTTGAGGCATTCTTATTCCAGATATCAGAGTTGTGCAGTGCTTGTTGTGGAAGAACTCTTCAATGTGCCATCTGTTGATTTTTTTGTTTCACTCATGACAAGTGGGTGACTTAACATTAAAATTCCATGTTGTTTGTAAAAAAATAAAAAACAAAACACCCTCTGGAAATTCTGTGTACCGAAACTTGGAGCTCGTTTAAAAACTGATCCAGAGGCGGATATTCTGGATATTCAGTTCTCCCTGCGGAATTCAGATTTAACAATCTAAGTGGGAATTTATTTTATTTTTTTCCTTCCAGGTGGAGCCTTTTTCCTCCAGGATGGCGTCGAGGCTGGTTCCAAAAGTAAGTTTCCAGCAAAATGCCCTTGCAGGGAGGTGTCCACTGGAAGTCCAGCATTACAAAAGAGTTCACGTAACATAGTTTGTTTTTTCCCCAGTGCCCAGCAGTCAGGATTAGGAATCCAGTTGACAAGATTGATGCTGCATTGTAAATCTCTGTAGCTCTGTCATGGTTGGTAACAGGCATCAGTGGACCTTTCCCCAGCACGTATCCATCTGCCACGGAGCATAAAGAACAGGACAGAGCTGCTCTCTCTCTTTTCTTGCTGTTTCCCTTCCCTAATAATAAACACCTCCCTGAAAAACAGGCTTAATTTGGAGGCTTGATGCTTCAGTGATGTAAGTGTAGGTCAGTGACATTGCAGCAAAAGAAGAAACATGGGTGTTTATCCAAATATTCAGACAATTTACTCTGCTGAAAGAAGGGCATCAGCACATTGTTAGTCTATAACTGTCTCCCTGAAATAGTTGAAATGAACTTTGAAGAGACAAATGCCCTTTTTTTTTGTGTGTGGAGTATCTATTTTTGTAACATTAGTGGTGCTCCTCTAGGAAAACACTTCTGGTACAATCACACCTGCATTTCTAACTATTCCTGGTGGCAACTTCTGTCACCGCTCTAAATGTCTGAATAGTGGCATCTCCTGTGGTTTTAATCTGCTTTACATAATGTCATGTGGCTTAGAAAAGGAGTTTTTTGCTGGTTTGTGTTGTTTACCTCTTGTCTACAAAAGCAAATTGGTTTTGTTTTTTAAAACAGAATGGTTGAGGAAGGAATCCAGGTAAATAAAATCTTGCTTCACTTTTTTCTTTTGAACCATCATCTCTTTAGTTACATTTATGCATCTTCCAGTTGCAAACACCTTTTAGCAGGGGGAGGGAGAATCCCTGGTTCCCTCTTATTGCAGACTAGGTGTGATATAGCTGGCAAGTGACACGAAACTAATAATTTATTATCTAACCTTTTCATTTCCCCCTCTCTCACGTGGAGTTGAAAGGTGCAGCTTGAGCTGTTCGGGGAGTTTTCCCCTTTTGATATGTGGGAAGACTGAAGGTTTGAGGTAAAACACTCCAACTCCGCTGTGGGGACTGTACAGACACTTCCCTGTGCTCTGGATGCATATTAAATATTTATGTCCTGATGTAATTGGTGATTTTCGGGCTGTTTCCAGTGTGTGATCAGTTTGCACAGCCCCACGTTGGGCTGACACCCAGCGTGTGCCTGGCCGTGGATTTGCAGGAATCAATTATCACCCGTGCAATGTGCTGAACAGTTTTTAAGGAGCCTGCTGAAAAATGCTTTGGGAAAGCAGGCAGACGTGGGAATTTTCCATAATCACTGCCTGTGCCTCCTGCTCCATCCCTGATTTTGTTGCAGTGACCAGAGATGAGTTTTGGGTTTGGGTTGGCTGGAAGGTGGCTGGGCTCTGGGTGACCCAACCTCAGGATATCTCCATATTTAGGAATTTGGCTGGGGGGTTGTTGTTCTTCTGACAATGTTTTTGTATTTCATTAGAAAACTCTAAATGTCGTTCTGCTCCTCGCTGGGTTCCTTGCAGTTAAATTTGAAGTTAGTAAATGGATTCTTGTACTAACCCTGATGCTTTGCTCTGTTAATAGTGAAACCCTTATCCTGACTCGACCAGGGCTGGATAACTGTAGGAAAATCCAGATGTGTGTGTGCCAAGACTATACTCTTCTATTTTTATACAAATCTTTGCACCTCTTCTGTCTGTATTTATTTCCCAATTTCCAATATTTATTGGAACTTTCCAATACTTCCAATATTTATTGGAATTTCCAATATTTCCAATTATTCCAATTTCCAGTATTTCCAATTTCCAATATTTCCAATTATTCCAATATCCAATATTTCTTATTGGTATTTTGTGTTTTTAGTGAATTCCCTAATACACATTTTGCTGCTCTGCTCACTTCAAAAATTTCAGCGAAATTCTTTCCTCACACACAACTCAGATTCCTGACTCTCCTTCAGCTTAAGGAGCACTATTAATGGTTTTGTTCATATTGCTTAGATTTATTTTGTTATTATTCTCCAGCTCCTACTCTTCAGGTAGAGCTATTTTGGTATTATAAAGAATGATGGATTATATAGGAAAGTTTCTTTTGAAGCACTCCTGATATTGTGCAATGCACTTGGGGGTCAGCTACACTTGACTGATGCATGATTTATCCCATGTCCCTGCCACTTCCTGAGATAAAGCTGCTATTTTATCAAAAATGCCAGCAAGTGTGATTTAGAATTTATCCCCCTCCTTTTTCAAATAATTGTTCTGATTACTTTCTTGCACGGCAATAAAATGATAAAGGTAATTGCACACAAATGTGAGATAGCACCAAAATACAATAAAATTAACCTGAATTAGCTTGACTTGTCGATGAGAAGTATTTATGAAATGTATTTTTGCAATAAGGGAGACTGATATTATAGCTGGAAGGTGAGTTATTGCCTTAATGTAATACTGTTTGAAATTTAAAAAAGAGACTGTTACAGTTGAGGGTGATTGTGCCTTTGAAATTAAGTTGAAGTGATTCTTATAATTGGCAGCAATAATGCATTGGGAAGGTAATATCTTTTATTGTGTTATGCCTAGTTGCATTATCTTTTATTTAGCTGGTCCTGACTCCAGCTCTGCAGAGAAGACAAGCAGGAGCACATCAGGAATTTTGTGGATTTAGCTGATAAAAACTTGAAATGTTACCCAATATTAAAGTCATTCTTCTGCTTTTTTTTTTTTTTTCATTTTTAGCCCATTTTCAGTTCCCCAGAACCTGATACAAGGCTCATTTGATTAAAATTTCATCTGTTTTCCTTGTATTGGAGTAGTTGCCATGTATTTACATCAGGCTGAGCCTGTAAGAACTGAGCACTTGGGGCTCACTGTGTGTTTACGTCAGGTGCTGATTTGGGCAGTGAATTTTGTATTTTTCTGTGCCTCAGAGTACAACTTCTTACAGGAAAGTGTGAACACACTCTTACAGCAAGGGACTTGTTGAAACTCAATCCAGTAATAACAAAATATTTTTTGGGGGACCCTCTAATTGTTAAGAGACATGCTTCTTGATTTTTGATTCTTTAGTACATTTATTTATTTATTGTTTGGAAGAAAATTCCTTAATTATTTTTAAATATATCTATATTACATGTATAAAAAAATCAGTGTCTTATTCCCTCTGACAATGTCAAAATATTGAACAACTCAGCAAAATATAACTGAATTTCTAACTGAATCTTCTGCCATAGGATTTCCAGCTTCAAAATGAGGAGCTGGAGGATTTAATCCCTTTGGTGGGTCCTTGGAAGGATGAGAGGCACAATGTGCTTGCCCTCCCCTTGGAAGTTCCACCAGGACACGTGGCTGTTGGGCTGCTTCCTGGTGGGACTTGTTGCCATAATCTCATTATTTCAGGAATATCTGGCACTGTCCCGTCCACTTTCCCTCCTCTTGCTGCTCCATTTTTTACCTAGTTTAATTAATTATTATATCTCTTGGCAGCCCCCAGTTTGATAAGATGCCCTGAATAACTCCATGCCCCCACCATGATCAGGAATTTTTAAAACTAATTAACACCACACTTCTTCTGTGCTGTGTGTAAGTAGAAGCTCAGAATTGTTTGGGTAGGAAAACACCTCAGAGATCATCAAGTGTTAATCTTTTCTTTGTGCTATTGGTATCAAATTGCATCAATTTTTTGATTGATATACATCTGGTTTATTATGGTATCTATGCTTTAAGTGCCACGTGGCTGCTGTGCTTGCAGCCCATTTAAATTTCCTGTGTAAGTAATAGCTGGGGAAAGATGCAGGATGTGTTTACTTGTTTTTGGAGAGGTTCTGGAGGAAACAATACATCAGAATTCCTGTTTGAACAGCCCACTGAGGTCTGCTGCCCAAACTCCAATCCAGGCTTGGCGTGAGCAGCAGATGGAGTTGAAAACTGCACTTGTTGAGTCTGGGAGGCAGGAGCACCACCTGCCCCTTGCAGGGGAGTTAAACTGGGTTTATTACAGCTGAAGTGCCCTTCCAGTACAATCCAGCAGTCAGGGCCAGCCCTGGGTGCTGGGAATTTGTCGTGCCTCCCGTCTGCCAAAGCAGCCGGCTGAAGGCGCAGCCAAAGAGCCAGAGGCGACCACTGCTTGGAAAGGCACTTCCCCAGCTTGGCATTTCGGGGGCTTCTGGTTGCCATCCAAAGAGGATTAGTAGGATAATGCGATGGGACAACAGGAACTTGCTTTTGTTGTCTTTGATTGTTTAATAAAGAATTACGTGTTTGCTCTCCTTGAAGATTTTTTAAATGCCGTAGAAAGCAAATGTTGCTCCATGTGAGCACGTATCCCTCTGGTTTTTCGGGGGCTTGTGTGAAGTGGGCCTTTGGATAAGGGAAGAGGGGGACTGATTTTGAGTGTTTATGCCAGTGTATATTTGTATATGTTCAGAATATGCAGCTTGATTCTGTACCTTCACATTTTTATGGGATTAGTTCTTCGTAAGGTAAAGAAATTGCATCACCCCAAACTAACCCTGGATTTGCTTCCAGTCTCTCTGACATTTCCTTTCCAAACCTCCCCGCGGCAGGAAATGAGGAGGTTTTGTTTTCATACCCTCTGAAGTTACAGGTTTGGCTTAACCAGGGTGAGATTTACTCAGAGGAGCAGCGAGGCACCAGGAGAGCCCCGCAGGCTCTCGGAGCAGCTCTTGTTCGAGAGGCTCAGCTGGGGAGGTGTTTATTGTTCCTGCAGCAAGGAGACAATTCCATGGGCCTGCACCTCCAGTGCCTTTTGCTGGAAAGCTGGAGGTTTGTTTTGGATGCTGTAGGAAGGAGAAGTGCACCCAGCAGAGAATGTGATTGTGGAGGGGGAAGAGGTGTCTTGTGTCCAGGTCAGGGTTGTTCAGTTCACAGGACCCTGCTGCGGGATATAAAGGACTTGTATTTTAGAACATTAAAGGTAATTTTAAAAGTTATTTTATTTTTAGCAGGTTGT